GGAAAAAACTCACTCATTCAGTCTGCTGAGCAGCTTGCAAATAGCAATGTCATGCAGCTGTCTCAGCATCAGCTTCTGCAACACCCCACATCCCACTGGCCCCCTCACCCCTCACCCACCAGCCCCTCAGCCCACTGAAAGCGCCACCCAAGCGACGGTGGCGACTTCATTTGCAATGCAAACAGAAAAACAGAAAACCTCTCGGAGAGAGACGAGCTCCGCTTCAGTTGTGTAATCAACTAATTACAACAGCCACCAAAGCTGGCGCCATTAGGCAGCACCACCACCACCACTACCATGACCCATAACCACCCATAACCCCACTCATTTGTCTTGCCGAAGTGACTTTTAAACATTTGCGAACATTTTGCCAACGAATATAAAAGCTGAATCGCCGCCAGTTTGAGACAATTGAGTAGCCCTGCCACTCAAATCAATCAATTCTCCGCAGTCTTCAGATCCACTCAATGGTATGCCCCATCCCTCCCAAGAATAATACTTATTGCTCTCTCAGTTCCTCGAAATGGAACACTGCGAGAAAGTGGACCTGAAAATATGTAATTTCGAAATGAAAAGTTTTTCCAAACCATTTCGATTTTATATAAATATAAATTATTTATAGATTACATACTTTTAATCACAATCGCATTCCTTAATTACTTAAAGATCCTTTGCTTATCTAATTTGTGTATTGTAATATTTGAGATCACTTGATTTATCCTTTTTAAATACTTGCAGTAACTGGTGTTAGATACTACCTTCTTAAGACGATCTTTTGTTTAAATATAACTCATTAGTTAGAAATAATCAAATATGAAATAACATAATATTATATATAATGTAAGCTTATTCATATGAGTCCTTACAAAGATATGATTTGAATTATAGAAAGAGAAAAAATACCCCGATTTATGTGAATAAAAGGATTTCAAGTAAAGGGGAATAACTTTTTTAACTGGACGCGTAACACCTTTAATTCAATTCTACAGCTTAGGTAACCTTTGTTCCCACAGTGCACTCTCGCAGTTATTATTCCTGTTTCCGGTTCAGGATTTTCGTTGATTTCGCCTTGTCTCGAGTCCGTCGAAGAACTCCGGCGGTCTCTTGACGCAACGTTCCTTATGCCCTCCACCGTTGGTAAATTGATACTTTTTTTTTTTTTTTTTTTTTTTTTTGGTTTTTTGGGATTCGCATTTTTTGTCAGGCAAGCAAAAAATAAGCCAACAGGGAGCGGGACAGGGACAGGGACAACTTGAGACGTGCGACGCGGACTACAAGACCATCCATATTCATAATGGCACACTAATTGGATCTTAATTCTGGCATTTTATTTGATTACACGACCGAATTATGTCTGATGAATTGAGTTAGCATGCGACGGCAAACAGATCGAGAAAAGTGTTACCGACATTGACACTTACTAAATAAATTTGCAAAATTATGCAATTGAAATTGAAAAGGGGAAGTTTGGGATTATCATCAAGTAATTGATATCTTTTTCACTTGGTGTGCAGTTGTTTACCAGGAAGCGGGCAACCGTCGGGTAAATAAGTATCAATCTAAACTAACAATTGTCTCATTTTTCTAATTTTCCCGTTTTCATATTCATTCGGCGCAGTTGCTTTGATCAGATGCATATTCCGTTGGCCAACTGTTTGTGATTAATGAATTCAGATTGAATTACACAGAACAACCTGTACTGAACAGTTTGCCCCCATTCTCCTTAAAGCATACATGGAAACGAGCCGAGTGGAAAAGTTGCCGAGAACTGCCTTTAATTGATTTGGAAACAAAAGTTTCGACTTGGAAAAAGTTCTGGGCAGCGAACTCCAAAAACTCGTTACGTTCATCGTCCAATGGCAATTTGCTTTGGGTGCTCTTAAACAGCAAATTATGTGCTTACCATTTGTTACACAATGCCGATAAATTAGCCCAACGACAACGACAAGTTCAAGTGGCCACCAGATGAAATTAAATTAGCAATCACACGGTTGTCCGAGGATTGTGAGCTCCACAAGTGACTGATGGATGATCGATGTGCCACTTAACAAGTTGGTTTAGTTCCTAAAGTCAATTTTCATAGTGGAGCAAACGCATAATATTCTGCAAGATTATTTATTAAAGTCTGTTACTTGTGATCTAAAAAAAATTAGTATATTAATAATATAATATTATAAGACTTTAAGAGTAAATTATAATTTAATTTAGTCGACAAAAACAGTTACCAGAGTTTTTTAATAATTTATACATGTTAGAGTTTTCCTTATAAACTTTTAATTAACTATTAAATATATATTTTCTTATATCCCCATTCCATTACAAAACCAAGTGCGGCTTATGAGAACAAAGCTAATATTAATCGTTTCCGTGTGCCAAAAATCTCAGCACTGTCGTTCTATACTTTCATTAGAAATATAATCAATATTCCACCACCACTTAAAGTCCCCTTATGCCATTAATCTATCCAAGTGTGAATTTAATTATGCCCCTGGGCGAGGAAAAACATTCAGGAACCACAAAGTTAGACCGGGTTTGTCAATGATTTGCGCCAGTTTTGCGATGTCAACGACAAATTGCCGGTGAGACACTTTAGATGCAGCCAACTGAACTGGATTAATTCATTCAAATACAGCGGTAAAAGATTTAAGTTAACATCAACAAGTTGAAGGGAGCGGAATTTTCAAGTGTTAGAGCTTCAATGTGTCCGCAAGATTTATTGGCTTTTCATAGACAGCTTTAATTGATCGGATTTTTGTACCCTTGCTTACGGTATTATAATTTCAGTCAGAAGTTGGCAAAAAAATGATAACTTCGCTGTTCTACTATGTTTTTTACATTATTTTAAAACTACAGCTCTACTTATTTAAAATCGGCCAACGATTTAATAATTTAGCGGAAAATTATCATAGCTTCACTATTATTCAACATATAGGCACAAAAATCGGAATATTCTTGTTTAAAATAATATTTAATTTTTAGATAGCCGCAAGGGAATATAACTTTAATTCTTGTTTTTATTGTAATTGATTGGGACACTATAGATTGGCGAAAGCCCTTTATATAAGAAAATGATTATAAGATTCTGTAGAAATAACAGTGAATTCATTAAACTAATTTTTTTTTTATTATCTGCGGCATATAACCAAAGCTTTTAAAAAATTTGTATTTTCTTTAAGTTTGTCTGAGCTGACCAGATAAAAATAAAGGTTCTGAATTTGCCGAGTCAAAATTAGAAATAGAGTCACCGGAAAATGGAGAATCCATTTTAGGAAGTCCACGACAATCCCATCGATCCCGCCTAGGAATAATAAGTATTAACTATGTTTATGAAAATCTTCTATGTTATCTTTTAAAAAATAGTTTGAATCACCAAAGGATTTTCAATGCGCAAGTAGTTCTAAGTTCCTAAATAGTATTTTTGGTTCTTAATAATTAAATTAAGGAATATCCCTGAAATATAAAAAACCAAATAAATCACTTTGAAAGTATCCGAACGACTGCAAACAGTTCCAAACTTAAGCAAAGATCAAGAAATGAAGGTAAGATTTAATAACCTATATAAAAATTGAATAATTCATAGCATAATGATGTGTAAAACTTGTTGTTGTCCTGCTTTTGAATTATCATACATTGGGGAACCATCTAAAAACATTGGAAGATATTTCGATCCCTTCGACCTTAGGTCTGTTTTATATGTTCAAGCACTCGTGTGTGAAGCGCAAGTTGCGCAGCATTTGAAATGTAATATTCATTGTTATTATACCGAATGGCATATGGGTAGTATCCCACGTGTGAGGACTCTCTACCTGAGGGAAAATGCTGCGTTTGTAATTGCCACTGAGTTGGCCACTTTCGCGTCTTTGGCGAGTACTCTCGTACTTAGTCAAATGATTTATAAATGCCCATTTAATGCGCTAAAAGCCATACGTATTAAGCTGGTCTTCACATGTTCCCTGCTCGTTTGGGGAGTTTGGTTGCGGAAAAGTGGAAATGGAGGTGGAAATTGGGGGTACATGCGTGTGGTTTCTCCTTTTTTGTGAGGCGAGAAAAGGTAAAGTTTGCGCCAAGGCTTTAATTATTGTAATTGGAGTTTTCGGCTTAAACCGCACAATCGTATAAATTATGGAGGCCAGATGATGATCCCCAAAAGATAACTTTCCTTTTGGAATCATATGTTAATTGTTTTTGGAGCAAAGTGGAGCCCGCCTGCGGAACGGAAGTTACCGCATACCGAATACCATATACCGCGTGTGCAACATAAATCTCCTGAGGCGAAGAGCAATTTTCACCTAATCTCAACCCCTCTTGGAACATCTTTCTTTCATCCCTTTACCCGAGATGCCTCTTATCTTATCACATTCATTATACGAATTAGATTCAAGACGTCGGATTGCGATTCTTTTGGGACACATTCGTGAAAATTGCCTATTTTTGAAATCGGAAACTTTGCAAAAACCGGCAGAAAAGAAGCAAAAAAAGAAGAGAAGAAGAAGAAGATTAAGGTTAAAGGGCGAAGCAACAACAAAGGCCACAGATTTTCCAATCGTTATTATTGAATTTTTTTCAAACGGCGTCGAGAAAATCCAGGCACATCCCGTCCGTATTCTCGGGTTCGTGGTGTCCGCATCCGTGCCGGCGAGAAACCCAATATAATCTTTATTCCCTTTGTCTCCGATGGTCGAATGTTCAAATGTTAAAAATGTTCGGACATTTTTCATTTTAAAGACATTTTGACATTTTTTTTTGCCGTCACCGTCACCGTCGCCGTCGCCGCTACCGCTGCCCGCCAGACAGACAGTCAGAGGGAATTGGCAGATTAGAAACGCTCGAAACGCAGCGGTCGGTCTACAGGGAAGGTCGACCTCTGACCTTGGACAGTTGATTAGCATTGGGATTGGACCAGTCCATTGTCCGCGCCTGTATCTCTGTATCTGTATCTGTATCGGTGTGCGAGCTAAAGTCATTGGGAATTAGGAAAGTGGCAGTAAAAGACGTCAACGTTTTTGGCATAAATTAGATTTCTATTTTTCCGCTTGATTTTACATAGAAAAGATTATACAAAATGGTATCTTATAGCTGGTATTTACACTTAGGATTAGCTTAGCTTACGGCCATGAATAAATATAGTTCGTATATCTGCATATATCGATTCTGAATCGCTGTCTTATTCTCCGTTTTTTCTTTTTACTTTTTTGTTTTTGTTTATGTTTTCATTAATACAATTCAACATCACTGTTAGATCTGGGAGTAATCTATGGAGTAATATATATTTACAGAGCATTGCTTCCACTACCAAGGGCAGTTTACACTCGGCTGGATGTGTAACATTTTTTTTTTTGGGTGATGAGAATCCACCCCCAGGTGCAGGGGTTGGATTTCGTGCCACCGTAATTAGGGCGAGGAACTGGTTCTGGCCATGGGGCTCTTCTATATAGAACACCAACGACCGAACGGGTAACGTTAATGAATAACTAAAACAAGGTCTTTAAAAATTAATTAGAGCTACGTGGGGGGTTGGCTGCAATTCCGGCGCGACTCCTTTACTTGCTCTTTGTGGCCGGTGGCAGGGAGGCAGCGGCTGTTGCTGTTGCTCCATTGTTGCCAGTGGCCGCCGTCTGTTGCCGTGCACTCGCTCCACTGCCGCCGTTTCCCTTGGTTTGGGGCGCCGTGGCTGCTGCCGCCAGCTTGCCGGACGGCAGGGGAGAAGTCTTGGGGCTGGCTGCCGGCGGAGTGGCTCCCGGACTGGGCAACGTCACCGTGGGCAGCATCGGCTTGGGTTCCCCCTCGGCCGGACCTCCGCCGCTGGCGGCGGCACTCTTCAGCTTCTGCAGATAATCGTTGAACACCTCGTTACCGGCGCGCTGCATCCGTGACAATTGCTCCATGAGATACGCCTGCTGGTAGCCGTACATGGCCGGCGACATGTGTCCCATCTGGGCAAAGTTGTACAGCAGATTCGACTGGTTGGCCGCGGCCGCCGCCTGGGCAGCCTGTGCCGCTTGCGCCCGCATCAGGTTCTCCTTGATGAAGGTGCTCAGGTCCAGTTGGCCGGAGGCCACTGCTGCCGCACTGGCACTGGAAGCGATGCTCAGTGGCGCATTCTGTCCGAGCATGCCGGGGTGGGGCATCATCTTGCCCACCGCTGGAAGGGACGGAGGCGGTGGCGTGGGATTCTTGGACCCCTTTTTAACCTGCTGTTGGTTCTTCTGGGGTGGACTGGGTTTCTGTGCCGGCGCCTGCTGCTGATGTCCTCCGTTGGCTAGCTTCTGTTGGCCAGGCTGTTGGGCATTGGCGCCTGCATTCGGTGACTTCTTGCTGGGCGGCACCTTTTTGCCGGTCACCGGGTTCGGAGGTGGATTGAAGCCAAAAGGAGGCGCCAGAGTGGGCAACTTGGGCGCCAGCTCAGGCATGGCATTCTGGCGAGGAAGGATGGGCCGGAACTTCTTGGCCGCTGGATCGCCATTCTGGCTGGCCACTCCCGAGTTCGCTCCTCCTGCTGCTCCACCCTTGGGCGACTTGTTTTCGCTGGCAGTTGGCGAATGACTGCCCATTTGAGCGGCATTTCGCTTTTCCGGGCTGGGCGTCTTCTTATCCGCCTGCGTGGGCGTAAGCACTGGCTTCAGAGGCGTTCCTTTGGCGGCATTGGAAGGCGGTGATGTTTTTGGTGGCGTGATCACCCTAGGAGCACTTTGGGCCGGGGGCGGGGGGCGGGGGCGTGGCCACATGTGGCAACTGTGGCGGCGTCATGCGAGACATTAAGTGCTGGGGCGAAGGAATAGCCTTAGACGGTGGCGGAGGAGGTAGCTTCAGGGGCAGCGTTACTGGTCCGGCAACTGGTGGCGATTGTCGCTTCTGAGCCTCCTTGGCAGCCTGAACCTGATCCTGCGGCTGATCGGGCAGCTTTACAATCTCAATGTAGTTGTTCACTGGACTCTTGTGCTTGGGATGTTGGCCATTGATCGGTGACGAGGGGTCTCCATTGTCCCGCGAGATGGTGATCGAAAGCGATGAGGGGATGTTGATGTTGCACGAGTTAAGCAGCGACTTGACCTTAACCTGCTGTTTCTCGGGCGCATCTTCATTGGGCAGATAGAGATTGCCATTGCCATTTCCATTGCCACCCGACTGAGCAGCTGAAGCTGATCCTCCTTGAGCAGGATTCGTATTCTGATCGGATTTGGTGGGTGGCGAGGGGAACAATCCGCATAGTGATCCTCCAGTGCCGCCACCCAGCATGTTTTGCAAGTAGCTTCCAGTACCTCCCGTTCCAGTTCCCGTTCCCGTTGCAGTTCCGGCATTTGTCGTGGGCTTTGGGGTGTATTTATAGGTGGGCATCGTGGGAATATTGTAGCTGGGCACATACTGCGGCGAACTTGGTGAGTAAATGGGCGAATTGGGTGTGTACATGGGCGTACGGCAGCCAGGAGGCGCCTCCTTGCCCTTGGACTTGCTTGAATTGAACAGTGCCAGATTGAGATAGTTATTGGAACTGTTGCCCTTATTGGGTGGCGCTGACATCGGTGAATTGCCGCCCTGCTTTGCAAGGCTTCTGTTACTTTGAGGTGGGGCTGCTCCATTAGCGGGGTTTGCAGGCAAAGCCGGTGGACCCATTTTCGACTCATTCTTGGGACCGTAAACATGCGACTTTTGGGAGTTTGAGTTACTGGCATTCTCTGCAGATCCTCCTCCAATCGACTTGATTTCGGTACCAGCATCTTTGAGCAATCGATTGACATCACTTGGAATATTGGCAAACGGATTTGGACGGGATGCCTTAGGTAGAATGGGCTGATAGCGTTTGGCGATAGGAGTCCGGTTGCCGGGAGCCGACATCTGCACTCCGGCATGTTGATGCATTGGCGAGGAAGGTGGGGCAGCAAACTGGGCGGTGGGCTGGAGTTTCCGGGGGGCCAACATCGGTGGCTTCGACGGCGGCGGCATCAGTGGTTTTTCCACCTTAGGTGACGCTGCTGCTGGAGCATTTCCATTGGTGGCAGGCAGGCGTATCTTAAAGTCCTCCCTTGGGAGTGGAGGCGATAGCTTCGGCTTCTTGGACACTGCCTTCACTGGTTCCTTGCTCTTTCGCTTCGATGAGGCAATGGATTTGGGCGGCATACAGCTGGGCGGTTTCATCAGTATGCTGTCATCCAAGTTACCCTTCGATTTGGGCGACGAAGATTGCTGCACTGCAGACAAAGGCGGGGTGATGGCTCTGCTATTGGTAATTCTCTCCGGGGATTCCACCTTCACCTTGATGGGCTTCAGAGCAAAGGATTTGAGGAACTCTGACTTGGGATCCTCCAAGAGAGCTCCACTGGATACCCTTGGACTCAGGGTGCTCACTCCACTTGGGCTCATGATGCGCTCCGTGCGGATGGTCAATGGAGGAACGGTCAGCGGGCTGGGACTCTTACGCTTGCGATCTCCACTCGCAGATGAACTGGAGCTGCTCGACGACTTTGGGCTGCCGTCCTTGTCCTTTTTCTTAGACCTCGATTCCTTCTCGGGTTTCAGGGGCTTCACAATCTCCCTGCGTTCGGGATCGGACATATTGATAATGGTCACGCTGTTCTGCTTGGACAGATCGATCTTCAGCTTGATATTGGGCTCCGAGGGTGATGAAACAGGCGTAGAGGGAGAGTTCTTCGAAGAAGATTTCGAATTGGTCTGAGGTGAGTGACTCTTCTCTCGCTTTTCCAGCATATTTCGATTGATCACCAGTTTCAGTGGCTCCGTGGTGGGTGATGGCACCATGTCTGTGATCACCTTTTTCTCGATTTCTTTGGTGGTTTCCTGCTGCTCCAGTTTAATGGGCGCTTGGACTGCTGGCACAGGCGCCAGTTCCACCCTTGGAGGAGCTTCCACCGCCGGCTGTTGCTCTTGATTTTCATTCTCATGCTTCTCATGCTTCTCGTGCTTCTCGTGCTTCTCCTGCTTCTCCTGCTTCTCCACTTTTAGTGGCAGCACTCGACGAGGAGTGGGTTTGACCAGCGGTTGGGTTGACTCATAAACACGATAGTAAAACCGCATGGGTGCATCCCGCTTCCACGTATAGATGTACGCAATATCCATCAAAGTATAATAGTCCAGCAAAACGATGGTCTTAACCTTGTACATAATATCGATGCTAAAACGCTGGGCATCAATTTCGAACTTGTCGTAGACAAACTTCTTTAGGTGGCTCACTCGGCACATTGCCGGACATTGAAGATACCGCGGACGCAGAGTGTCCATCAATTCCGACTCGGACTCGACCTTTAGTTCACTGGGGTGGAGAAGAAAAGATGGAACAAAGAGAAACTAAGATTAGTAATTGCAGGAGATGGGTTTATTGCTTTTAGTACATCAGTTTTTTCAAACTTAAACTAGGTAAACCTTTAGGATACATACCCTAATTCCGCGTATTCCAACGACAGCGACATATCATCAGAAGGACTAAAGATCAGATGTTCCGTATCGTCGCCCCGCTGTTCGGGCGTGGCCAATGCGGCCTCCTGTGGACGATCCTTGTAGAAGGCCCTTTTGCGCATCAGCTCCCGTTCGTAAAGGCCCGGCACGAGCTTATAGACAATCGCCTGGAGCGTGGTGTCCGATCTGCAAGAGAAGAGGAGCGTCGGATTAAGAAATGTCGTCAAAGGGTTGGGGAAACGGGCTGGCTGCATTATGCCCAGTCAAATGGAACGCAGACAAAGGCAGCCGGGAAATGGAAAAAGTCACCGTCGACGACGACACACACACACACACACACACAGAAGCCAAAGAGTCGGAGTCGGGACAGGACTCGCGACTTCCTTGGCGCGGAAATGAGACACACAAAGCGAATGAGGGAAAGAGAGAGGGACAGCAGCCTGTACAAATTAGGCGGCAGATGCAATTTTCTATTACTTCAATGGCACGCAACAAATACAAAAACTGAAATAAATAAAAAAAAAAATAAGGGAAGGGAAGGTAAGGGAAGGGACTATTCCTTGGCATGCGCTGGTGGTGACGATGGTGATAGTGCTGCTGTGGTGGTGGTTTCCCCCAGATATACTCACATACCAACAGGGACAGGAACCGAGCAACTGTGGCCCTAAGACGCCTTTAAAAACATCTACGGCCCCGGGCAGCCAGGCGCTCACTTCAATCATTTCAACCAAAATAACGAAAGACGAAGACCGAAAAAGGTCTTGAATAGAACACAGAGATGAGAAAAGAGGCAGGCGGTTGAAGACGAGGAATTGGGAAAGGGCAAAGCATCGGGTCTCGGGATCTGGGAATGGTATGGAATGATGGCTCTCTCATTTACATAACCCCGGGCTATAAATTTATCGATCATTGCCGAGTGGAAATGGGCTCTAATCTCTAATCGATCTATTTAGGGATATCCTTTCAGAACCATATTAATTAAACTATAAAATAAAAGAACAACGATAAACAGAAGTGGCCGATTAAAGTAATTGCCAGATGCCAAAACATTAACTAGATAACGTATCATCATTTGGAGTCTGAGCATTAATCAAACCTTTTTTATGGTTTGCTACGTTATGGACATTATAAAATTACTAGACAAGATTATTACGGCATTGTTTAATTACCTATAACACATTTTATTATAATGAAAATGTAGTATTTTAATCAATTCCATAATCTATTGTGCTTACAAAAAAATGTTTTTTGTATCTATCCAAGACACAAGTACAAATAAAAATCGGATAACGAATTCTAAGAACAAATCATCTTTAACCGATTATCTTCGCTATTTTTGTTAATATAATTTGATCATACTAAATGTTTATCCTCAGACATCTTCACTTTTATTTTTATTGATTTAATTCTTAAAACAAATCATTTTTAACCGGTTGTCTACGCTATTTTATTAATATAATTTGAGCATACTAAATGTTTATCCTCAGACATCTTAACTTTTATTCGCACTCTCTCTCGTTCACTTCACGGTTTACTACCACTTTCGTCTGCCAGTTGCAAGGATGAAAAAAAAAGAAAGAAATATAAAAAAAAAAATAATAAATCCAACAGAAGCCAGACTGTTTGGCTGTCGCTCTTTCTCGCTCACGCGCCTGTCACTCAGTCCAGTTGTTGTAGCTGTTATTATTATGGTAGTTTCTTTATTTTTTTGCCGTTCGTATTTGTTGTTGTCAGCTGCTGCCAGTCGTCGTCGTCGTTTTGGCCGACGGCAAATTCGAGCCAGCGCAAGACCCGCCCGTTAATTATCTCTGCCGCACTTGGATTTGTTTTCGGTTTTCTTGGAAATGCGTGTCGCTGCAGTTTCTTTTTTCATTTTCTTTTCTTTTATTTTCTTCTCTTTGGCTTTTTGCAGTTTATATCAAGATGATTTTGGGGGCTGTAAAGCAATAAGAACATGGCCGGCCCCTGACACACATACAAAAGAGCTGTTCGTTCAAACTTTCAGCCGTAGCTTTAGTTTATTTTATTATATTTTGTTTTACTTTACTTTTTTTTCGCAGCGCTTTTATTTTGTGTTTACCTTTGTAAAGACAAACTGAGCGGAGTTTTCTTTTGTGTTCGCACTGCTGTTCCTCTACCTTTGCCCACTCCTTTTTCCCGTTTCCTTTCCTGTTCCTGCTCCCTCGTGCTTGTGTTGGGTTAAACAATAAACTTTTGCAATAAATTTAATTGGAGACTCGAGACTACACTACTACAATACTACTAAAAATTCATGGAAAACATGGCCAGCGGCATACAAAGGGCACTTGTTTGTAGAACGCACCAAATCCCCGCTATATCTTTCACTCTATATCTACACAGGGAGAAACTAAGACAGTAATTTAAAACTTTACTCTTGAAGTTCCTCTTTAATTATTTTAGAAGTTATCAGGGTTCGGCAAAGGTATTCGATCTGATCAACCTTCAAATTTTGTTAACGGTTACTCTTCTTAAGCGTATTGATTACTTTTTTAAAATTCCTGGATTGTTATTCTGTTTTAAACTATTTAAATCAAGTTGAAAAGAAACTAACTTTGTTTACCTAATTAAAATGTTGCAAGAAAAAATTCAAGTCACGTTTTTTTTTTTCAAATTACAAACTAAATTAAGTTATTGAAGCTACACTTATTATTAAAAAAAAAAGGGACTTTTTTTTATTTCGGTGTAGCCGGCTCCATCCAATCTATAGGGCACCACTTCACACCATTTGGCCAGCAGCAGCAGCAGCAGCAGCAGCAGCCCGAAAAGGTTCATTCATTCACCTGCTCTTCATTTACTCAGTCCTCTGCCCACGATATCGCCGCTCTTTGAATTTGTATTCATTATCTCTTTGTGTGTGCCAGCGATTACAACGTGCCACTTGATGTGCGGAAGGGGGGCACGGGTGCCAGCGGGTGGTTTTCTATACAGACTCCCATTAAAGTTGTGCGCGGGGGCCCAAGGCTTAAATAGATATATATTCGCTGGTTCAGCTCTCGGAACATGAAACGTGTTTTTCATTACGTCCAGCGAAATGGAATGGAATGAATTGAAACGTGCCAGACGAGACAGTTAGACATTCCCGAAAATGCTTGGTCTCCGTCAAATAAAGTTAACCACAAGCGAAAACTTTGCTCCAAGGTGCAAGGAGTGCAGGCTTTCTTGCCCACCACCACACCACACCACACCACACCACACCACACCACCACCACCAGCACCACCACTACACTTAGGCCAAAGGTTTTTGATCAACTTTTTCCCTCCACTTTGGATTGAAGGAAAACCACCGATGCCGCTACCGCTACCGCACACCCACCGAAAACGCCAAAAGTTGTGTGGTCCAAAGTAGAAGAAACATTTAAGAAGAAACTACTCCGGTTCAGGAGTTCCTTTCCCCTGGGGAAAATCAATCTCGCAGCGAACTAAAACAAAATTGCTATAAGCTACAGTGAGTCGCCACAGTCCGTGACGTTTTGTGGGCGGGAAAAAGCGGGCAAAACGAAAGGAACTAATCTTGTACTGATTTTCTGATTATATTAGTCAGCAGACATCATCTAATAAAAGGTTTTGCAGACACCTTCTCAATAAAGAAAACGTCATTCAGAATTGGCCCTTTGACACTGAACAAAAGTTGGATTAAGTGGGATTAAGTGGAATTTAAGACGATTTTAATTCCCTTTTTATTTGTTAAGGAAATGGAGCTACAATAAAAGCCAACCAATAAGTTTTCCTTTGGAAAATTATTGCATCGACTGGGAGAGGTTTTAAGTATCTAGAAATACTTTTATAAACATAAATGGTAATGAAATACTTTTTAAACTGATTATGAAAGAGCCGGAAAAACAGGAAAATTGATTAATGAAAGCTGTGTAAACCCTCTTAGTCACTGACTGCTTAGTAAATCATAAAATATTGAACAGACTCATTTCGCTAAGAACTTGAATAATTTACTTAGCTCGCTTTTATCTGACATCTCTGCTATCGCCATTAAAGATCCATCTGGCCTGTCAGAAAGGTTTGGCAATGCTTTCCCTTAAAGCCACCACTTACTTTCAGCCAGACAGCGACGAATCGCAATCTCAAGCACCTGGATCCCCCCTGCAGTCCCCGACCTCGCATTATGTATCTATCATCTAATCGCTTGTTGTCAAAGACAGACGATTGCGAGGAGCATCCACAGTTACCAGCTACTATATAACTCTAGAGGGCTCTGGCATACTCACTTGATGTTCGGTTTGGCGTTGTTGATGACCATCTCGCAGCGCGGGCAGAATCGCTCCTTTCGCAGGTGATTAATGAGGCAACTGTGGCAGACTGAAAAGTAAGTACAAAAAACGAGTATAAATTAGAGGGCTTTTGGTATGCGAAATAGGCAAATAACGATGCACACGGCATTCGACATAAATAAACTCAACAGATTTCGATGATTCGATTTGATGTAAGACCATCTCTGCCACCCAACCACCCCGACCCACCCCACAGAACGGAACGGAAACGCAATAAAACCACCCACGTACCCAAAAAGCAAAAAATAAACGAAGGACGAAGCAAGGGGAAAACATTAAACCCAAAACAGAACAGAACCGAACAGAACAGGGAAACACAACCTTCAAGGCAATGTGAGTGCCGTGCTGCAAAAAAGTTGTTTTGACTTTAATGTCAATGCCAGTGTCTCTGTCTGCGCTGCTTTACCCCCGCCTTTTTCACTTTTCCTCAGTTTTCCCCTGGATATCCTGCCCGCTACAACTGTCACCCAACTGCAGACCAGGGAAATTGCGAGGATAGACTGGGGCTCGCACAGTCAGTCAGTCCAAGCTGGCCCGCCGCCTGTTACGCTTGTCCGTCAGTTTTGGTCCAATGCCGAAATAATAATAATAAAAAAAAAATACGGAGCGAAATAAAAGGAAAAATTCGCACTGAGGCTGGCGAGTAAGGAGGGGCAGGCGGAAAATGGGGGGTTAGTTGGGCGGTTTGGGCGTGTGGGGTGATGGCGTGTGCAAGCCAGCAAAAAAATTGTTGTTACTGCCCGCCAAATGGCCTCGAATGGGGAGAGCAGCAGCCAGCATTCTGCAAGAGTTGCAGCGGCATCAACACACTGAGAGAAATACTTGAGGGAAACGAAATGGCTTGATTCCCTATGGTACTTTTAACAAAGTATCGCATTTAATTTTCACTCTTTAAACTTTTTTTTATAAGCATTATATGTTTACAATTGAATGTGTAAAATATATTTGGAAGTACATAGATTTGTATAAAGGGACGATATTTTCCTTGATTTCTCAATTTACTGTATTTCATAAACCTGGTAAAGTCATATAAGCTTTTCAAATTTATAAAAAAAAAAACTACATTTCACAATATTGTAACCAATCTCTTTAAGTTTAGATTAGTTTAAAATAAATATTTTTTAATAAAATCAAAGAAACCTTAATAATTAAGGGCTGATCACAATTCCGAAATTTCTCACAGTGCTCGATACGAAGGCAGCTGTTGCTGCCACAGTCCGGTTTCGCGTTGGTTTGCTTTGCTGGGGCTCGCGTTGCTCGGCCTTTGCTTTTGGTTTTGCCTGGGTCCCAGGTCCGGTCACCAGTAAACAGTCTACAGTCCAGCGTCCCCAGTCCGGTTCGGTTTGGTTCGGTTCGTTTGACAGTTAGATGGGACTCCCGGGTGCTCTACATACGCAAGCATGTATATATATCTGTGCCTGGGCCCAGCCGTCCGTTTTGTCCCTGCCGGCCAACAGATTTAAATGAGCCTGACCAAATGTATCCAGTGTCCATTATCAACACATTGGTTTGCCAGATTTACGAATGGCAAAAAAAAAAAGAAGGAGCAAATGGGGCGCTTGAATGGAAATTAACCTTACGCCGCAAAAAGGGGAAACTTTTAATGTCTGAACGCTGGTGATGTATGGCTGCATTCGCTAGTTTTATGGCATTTAGTCCCCGCCTGAATGCTAATGTCGTGTTAATATCTGTGTCGTTGATAACACATCCGGGATTTCTGGTGGGAGTAGTGTGAGTCCCGAGATCATCTCTCGCCCGTCTCAACAGTTTCTCAATCAATCGAGCTAAGTACTTCGTGGCCGGGGCCATTAATGTGCCCACAAACTTATCGCCCGGCAACATCTGCGTGTCGTCTGTGGCCCAACCCTCCGCCACCTTCTCCTGCTCCTCGCGAAATCCTCCGCCCCCTGAAGCGAACATAACTCATCGCGTCTAGGCAATTTTGCAGAACAGCTAGACAGGCGGAGGTTGGGATTGGGAGTGGTATTGGTATTGGGGAGGGGATGGTGCTCTCAGTCGGCAGTTGGCATTCTAATTAAGGCAAAGCGATTAGACGCTGCAACTTGGCTTAATCCCTGCCCATTGAAGATACAGATAAAGACTCCAAGTATCTCAAACTCAAATCACTTTCCAGAAACAAGTTAAGGAGCTTTAAATAGAAATTCGGATTACATGAACCAACTTATTGTTATTGTTATTAAATTTATTATAAAAAAAACAAAGTTTTCTAAAATAAATTTTGTAAATCAGCTTCTAGATAAGTAAGAAATTTAGAAATGGATTATATAAAAGACCAGAATTCAAAAGCTTTATCAGTTATACCTTTTAAAGTTTTCCTTTTAAAACTGTTCATGTGAAAGGAATTTATCGCTAAGGATAACAATTTCTTTCTAGTAACAGGGTAGTTTGAATTAGAAGAATTGATAGGTTGGAGTAAAGGAGATAGGGTGGTATACATGTACTTTGTATTTTTCAGCTACTTAAAGGTTATTGACTTGCGCAAGCTTCCACCCGAACCAGAATACAATTTGATGAAGTTCAGCTGCTCAAGGATATACTTACAGGAGTGCAGGCACTCGACGATGGTGGTGGCGTTGATCAGATATCCCTGGCACAGGTGACAGATGATGTGCGGATTAACGGCCGTTAAAAGGACGGGGCGTGGCCTTGAAGTTGTGGCCAAATCGGAAGTCGTTGTCGCCGTTGCCGACGTTCCCTGGTCCTCCTCCGTTTTCTCCTCATCGGCGGAGGCGCCACCATTACTGCTGGCATCCTCAGAAGGGGCCCTTCTTGTCGTGGACCAAGAAGATGAGCAGGACGACGAAGACGATGAGGAGGAGGACGATGATGAGGAAGATGCCTCATTGGCATCGACGGCATTCGTGGCCGGAGGCGTTGATTCTTTCTTGATGCTGTTTTCTAATATTGTTTTTGCTGCTTTACCGGGGGCAAGTGTTGTTGCAGTTGTAGTTGCTGCTGCTGTAGCTGCTAATGTGTTTTCACTTTTTACTTTAATGCTGCAGGCAGCAAAAAGTTGCTGCTTCAGTTGATGTTGCTTTTGCATTTTATCAACATTAGTTGTTGCTGTTTTCTGAGACAAAGCCAGCTTTTTGCTTGAAGTGTTGCCATTGCTATTTGCATTGCTGACAACGCTTTTGGTCGCCTTAGTTGTTGTCGCTGTTGTCGCTATTGTCGCTGTTGTTGCTGTTGCCTTCGCCAACGTTGACAACTGCAACTTTTGTTGTGTGTGAGCCATTGTTGTTGTTGTTCCTGCCGCTGTTGGCGTTATTGTTGTTACTGATGTTGTTGTTGATGCTGCTGCTGGCGGTATTGCTTTCGACTCTGGCGTCATCATAGTAATAATACTCTAGCTGCTAAAATTCGCTTTTGTTTTTCGCACAAGCGTCAATCTGCAAAATAGATAAAGGAGAAGTTGAAATTAAATGCGAAATATAGCGAATGGAAAATGGAAAATAAAAAGCAAGTAAAGAGAGTGTGCTGAAGATTATAAATAAATCAGCGACTGAGCTGAAAAGCAATAAGCTGTAGCTACATAGCTTCTTGGTGGGGAAAAGCTTAAAGCTTCGCTCTCCGCAGAGTTTACAAAAGAATGAAAGCCAAGGGAAATACATTTTCTGGGAAAACTTGAAGAGTTAATGAACTCGGTGGGATCTTTTTTTCTTTGGAGCAATCTTTTCTTTTGCATGATTATTCGTAGCATACCGTCTAGTACAAAGTTTGATAAAGTTAAAAAAAAGATCGTGGCAAGATGAAGATCGGTTTGCAAAGCAGTCATTTAGTTACATATACTAATTTCAAAAAAATTAAGAAAATAAGAACAGGCATTGCAAATCAAATGTAAAACACACATCTTTAGATATTTTAGAAGACCTACAAATTTTCATAATATCATGCATCATTTGAGGGAATATTAGTTATTTCAACACACTACAATCACATTTTGGAAAAAAATGTTGTGAAAACAAAAAGGTAGGCAACAACGTAATAAATAATAACGTAATAATTAATTACGAAAATATGTTTATAATTTCAGTGTATAAAGTGATATGAGCTCAAACAAAGTATAAAACATGAGCAACCGACTTCAGTACTGGAATTAAAGATTTTTGAGGTTTGAGCAGTAAACAGAAAGGAGTCGTTGGGCATAAAGCAATCTGCTAGCTATTATTTGCAATCAGTCGATGGATGCGGGGCCTTTCGATAATGGATGTTGTAGTTGCCATGGGAATGCCTACGTCGAAAATATTGAAATGCACAGCACTCGGGGGAGCAAAAAGGGGAAAAAAGAGTTGCAGGGGAGTTTTGTTTTATTACGGAGTCGAGTGGAGTTTTAACCAGATGCCAAGTACATTCAAAGAGTGGGCGGATGGAAAATGTGTATTTCAAACAATTTCAAGTTGTTTTTGCATCAACGCGTCAGTAAAAAGTCAAGGTACGTACGGAAAACTTTTCCGAAAAAGTTTTTCAACTCCAGGGGCACACAGAATATGGTATGGAGAACATAGCAATGGAATATGAATGAATAAATATGCAAGAGGGCGAAAAAGAGCCGCGGCATCCAGCAAGCTCTTTAAATCCTTTTTACATCACTTTTAAGTGTTGTGCGAAGAGGAGAGGAACCCTTCAGTATGCCTCTTCCCTTGTTTTTTTGATCCCATTCCCATGGTTTAAGTCTCGGGGATTCTCGCGCGCAAAAAAAATGTGAGTGAGTACCAACATGAAAAGGATAATAAAAAAAAAGCAGCGGAATTTCTCATTGTGCGAGTGTGTGCGTGTGTGTCTGGAAAGGGATGCGAAGGGAAGTAAGGAGAAGGGCAACGCGACAATGAACAACACAACAACAAGCAAGCAAGCGAAAATTCGGAGAATGCAGAGCTGAGACTGCGGCTTTATCTCCTCTTTCAAACACACACACACTAATAACTTTCATTCAGAGCATGAAGTACATAAACATAAAACGAAAACGTTGCAAAACCAAATAGCTGTAAATTCTCATGCTCCCCTTTTTTCAATTGTCGTGTGTCCAATCGAAATTCTCACTTGTTGGGGCAAAAAAGGGGGGTGATAAAAGAGAGAGGAGAAACAAAGGCAGGAAAAGAGAGGGGAGAGAGCGCAACAGCTGCCGGCCATATCCAGTGTTGGCAAACGCCAGCCATTTACCTCTGAATTCAATCTTTAATCCACTAATAATCCAGCCAGTTAATTGGCATCGCGGTGGTCGCCTCGTATACATATATAATCCAATGGCGGGTGAATAATCCAAGTAAATAATCCAAACAGTATAGGTAGTTAAGTTTTTGAGTCAGCGTTTTTGCTTCTCATTCTTCACTTCACTTTATTTATTTCTTCACTTTGCTCCGAAAGCAACCACACAAACACGCGCTGGCACTTTCGGCTGCTCTGCTTTCGTGGGCACCTTTATTGTGTATTATGCTTTGCTCTATGTTTTCTGCGCGCACACACACAGTCACTCGCGTCGTACATAAGGCAGCAGACTTAGTAGTTGCTGCAACATTTGTCACACAAAGGAAATTTGCTTCGATCTTTCTTATTTATGATTATTTTTATTTTCTAACTTGAGCTTTGAGCTCTGGACTTATTTTAATCACAAGTCTTTTTTTGTTATTTCTGGTGGTCGCTTTAGTCAGCGATTAAGTTACAATAGCGAACAACCGACCGACGTCCGTCCGCTTTGAGTAGTTTTTTCGACTGACGACCACGCTGCTTTTCGTTATTTACTCTGCCTGCGTCGCCCGCTATTTACTCTCTCTTGGGCACACACATTCGTAAATATTCTTGCAGGCAGGTAGCCAACTGCTCTTGGCGAGTGCCTTTGTTTTCTTTTTCGTCGCTCGCACTACCGATTGGCCGTCTCGCTCGCTCCGGCTTTTTACTGGTCCAGCTCGACAGCTATCTCGTTCGCACGCGCACTCTGGCTCTTTTGTTGCTCTCGTTGCGGGGCGTCGCTCTCGCCGTTCTCTCTCACTCGCTTGTTATTTTTCCGCACAGCCTTAGCGAACCGTTCTCGTTGAATTTCAATTTTCAACTGAAGCACGCTCTTTTGCCGACTCTGGTTTTCGGTCGCCACTTCGGCCTCTGCCAGCGTTAGCGTCGCCGTCGACTTCGGCGTTTTTTGCTTTGCCAGCCGTTTCTTTGTTCATGTCTGTATGTACAAATAGGTATAGAGAGGGGGAAAAGGGCTGTACATAAATGGCAGAGGTTTTATGACTCTTTTGGTCTCTTATCCATATACAAACACTCTGAAATATATAAGACCATGTGCAAACAAGGTAGAATGAGTGCCCATGTAATCGCAAGTTGCAATTTCCGTCCGCAGAAATCGCATATTTGCACGTAGGCGTACGGCTATATCATCACCCCTCTCGCTCGCACAATATATAGTCTCCAAATTGGAAATGTTGTTTGTATTCCCTTTTCCTTTTTGCCCCCACAACTACAACAACAACAACAACGACAAAGAGCGCGAAAGAGCTCTCCAATCAGTGGCAGCCAACAACAATAAAAACAGCAACTTCGTTTCCGTCTTGGCGAATTAACCGTTAGGTTGCTCTTACGTAAAGTAACAATGCAGATCTAACGAATAAATTACGAGCAAGAAAACGAAACCGTGACGGCACTTTCCACGCAAAATAATACAGTAATTAATATTGTCTGTGGGAGTCGAATTATGTACTGTTGATCGTTCTTCAACTGAAAATTAAATTCTTCTACTTATGTATCTTCAAATTCTAAGGAAGTTTTTATAAGCAACCATTCAATCTCCTTTTTCTTTCGAAAGTAAGAGCTCAAATGATATTAATAAATTTAATTGCTAAACGCAAAGACCATTAATTAGACAATTAAATTTCTTGGTGAACTATAATCGTCTTAATACCTGTTCAAAGGATATATTTTTAAAAATCTTGTTAATCTTTCTGCAGAGAAAACTAATTCTTTTTTTCACCACGCTTAGTTGGAGCACGAATACAATTATTCGGTTTCCAGATTCAAAGGACAAAATTTTTAACAGGCTACGGAGTGGTTTACTCCTTGTACATTCCGATCTCAAAACTAAGAATCAAATAAGAAATAATATGCTTTCCTATTCATAATTTTTAAATATAAAGGTGTAAATATGTTATGTTTTAACTTGAAAGTTAAACAATTTTTGCTTGCTTTTTGACATTATAAAACATTTTGTTTACAATTTTTTTTCTAGTTTTAGGTCAGAAGGATCGTTTTCAGTTCTTGGTGCTAAGCTTTAAGCTTACCGTTCAATTGAGAAAACGGACCTTAAAGAAATCTTTATAATCTTTAGGATTCGCTTACTTTTTTGACTTAACAAACAGAGAAATACTTATATCTTCCATGGTTAAAACACGTTTTCGAATTTCACCATTTGAATCTAATTAAAAATGTACGGATTCATAAAATACATTGTTTATCAAATATGAAAACCACTGATGAATATAACAACGATATAAACAAAATTTTAGATTGCTGACAGTTTAAGAGAATCGGCGGACTTTGTTAAATTCTTGTTATATATAATTTGTTGTGAATTGACTCGTTTTATATGCTTACAGGCACGTTCTTTAGATAATAAATTCAATACAATATAAGGAACTTGGACATAATATATAATAATAAAAAAAAAGTAGAGTCGGAAATCATTTAGCAAACAATATAATTTGAAGACTAATACTTGTAAGTTTTGGTTTCCATTTCGGGAACTCATGAAACTCATTGGTTTATTGGGAATTTTTTGCATATCTATTAAGTGACTTGTTCAAAAAGTTATTTTTAATATGTGACCATATTGCAAGAGTTTATCTCATCAAGTGAAAATTTAGCAATTTGAATCATACACCGCTGTCAACCATAAAAATTGTTTCCAAGAAAACACGTTTGGATTTGTAAAGATATTTACCGTTACTAATCTTATTCCGTAAAAATGCAATTTATTTAAACAAATTTTTTCCTTAGATATTTGCGAGTCAAGGCTAAAGCTTTACATGTGCGGCTTTTTATTCGATAGTTAAAGGAACTCAATAAACATATAATAAATTTTTAATAATAAATAAAAGTATTTGCTAAAGAATATTTGCACAGACACTTTAAGTTTTTCAAGGGACCATTAATGATAATTAAAACTAGCTATGCCATACTAGTATCGATAATGTATCTTTAAAATACTCTCTTTCTTCCAATAGTGATCGTTAAATCCAATTAGGCGATCCTTCTTCACCTCCCTCTTAACATTCGCCCTTTCAGGGTGGAGGACTCCCCGCTGATTTTTATTACGTGTATTGAATATCCCGCGATTTTACCCAATTTCTCCGCTTCAGCTTCGTTAGAAGTATCAATTCCATTCGCCATCAACTGTCCGTCTTTCTGGGCAATTAGAACCACTGATACTGACGCTAATCCCCGAGCAGAGTCATCAAGCGTGTGCCCGACATCAGGCGAATGTGGATATCTATCCTGGTTCCGGATCCCTGAAGCAGATTGGCTTTCGGGCGGACGCCATCTTAAGTCGGCCGTCATCAGCGGCTGATTGAGCTCATCCTGTCCACTGGATACTGGACACTGGTCTTTGCCACTTGGTCGGGCCGAGCCGTAAATTATTGATTGGCTTTAATGCCCGGCGATAGATTGCCCCAACTGGTTTTAACAGCTTAATTGAGACTCCATGAAGCAATAAATGCGATAAAGCGACGGACTTGCACTGGGATTCGGTCTTGGAGTCGGAATCGTGGTAACCGGGGAAAGAGAAACTACAGTCCAACTTACGAAAGCCAAACTTTAAGCAAAGTGATAAGTGATAAGTTTTGAACAACTGTAACATTCTTATATGAATTACAGGTAAAATTCGAGTTCAAAAAGTCTCAGGGTTCTGAAAAATTTTGAATTCGAGATTTAATCAACTGATCTTCCATATTATCCTTAAAAAACATATAAATATTTCACTTTCAAAGTTCTGTAGGCCATATTGATTGAATACTGCGCTTAGGCTTAGAAACTAAAAAGTCATAAAATTTATATAAACTTTTGATTAAAATGGAAGGCATGTACAAAACGCCGTTTAAAATTAACAAATCTCAAAGATTATACAAAAAACACATATAAATTCGAGTACAAATTCATATTTCAAACTAAGGAGACAATAACAAATTGCATTATCCCATTTCTAAAAGCTTGCGATATTTATATGTTCTTTATTTGACAACTCGTGGTTTAAGGTTTTAGGAGAATACAGATCAGGAATTGCGCAGATTATACAGCAGACAAAATCGTTGTTATTTAGCTAAAGAAATAGATTTCTAACATGAACATGTTACTATTGTTTGGCGTCAAGATTTTGCAATTAAAAAGGTTTATGTATACTTATATAATTGTCTCATTTAAAGTTTTTTATATAAATGTTTGTGAAAAGTGGGTATCCTGAAGCGAGGTTCTTAACATCCTAAGTGACGGCTAGGAGTTTCTGTTATAGAAGTATGACTGTAGTCTTGAGCTGCTGAGTGAAAATACGATGGAATCAAGCCAAAGTCGTGTCCACAGCGGCAACAACAACTAAAACGGGGAGACTGCAAGAACAACAACAACAACAACAGTCATAAGATTGGGGCAACAACAGCAACTCCGGTAGCAGCATCCCAGTGAATGGGGGGCATTTAAGTTTAATTTGTGTGCCGCCGTCGTCGCCACTCGTTCGTTTCCCTCTCTCTCTTTCTCTTCTGCTCTCTCCTTCTACCCCTCCTTTCGTGGATCGAAATCCCCACAAGCATTGAGATTCGTTGTTGTTGTCGTGCATGCAGGGCGCATGCCGAAAACCAAAAGCAACATCTCGCCGTGGTGTGTATGTAAGCCTTTTACATACACGTACCTACGGATGTATGTATATCTCTGTCAGTTGAGTTTTCCCAATACGCACTGCTGTGACGTCACGAGCATCAACAGCAGCTTCGTTATAATCATCATGTTCATCATCGCATCGCAATTGCTACAAAAGCAAAAGCAACGCAACAGCAGATGTTTATGTGCCAGCGTGGAGTGTGTGTGTGCTAAACAGTATGTGTGTGAAAAGGTGCATCTGTGTGCGCTGGCATACAGCAAATAGTGCGATCAGGGTTGTCAGCTCTCTTGGTGTTGATATATAAATGCGGGTTCCGTTAAATTATATTTTGTATTTTAAAATGTCATAAAAATAAATATAATAGACCCTAATTCTTATGTTATAAAGAATTAATTAAAAAAAATTTAAGCAATAGCAATGGTCAAACAGTGTTAAATAAATTAATTTTTTGCAGTGTTAAATAAATTTATTTTGTTCTACCAAAAAAAAGAATTTTTGTATTAAGAAAATAAACAACAGAATAAAACTATGTACTTTTAAGCCCTATATATATTTTATTTTTTAGCACCACTTGAAAACTCTGGCATTTGTTATTGCCTTGTCTTGCTTTTATCTACGCGCACACAGGCCAACAGTCGAGTCAGAAATTCTGCTGCTTTTGTCGCTGCGAGCATAATAATGAGTTTTCTCGAGTCCGCTTCGCCACCGCTTTCCACACTCACCAAGTTTTTCCAGTCGGAAAACGGGGGATGGGATGAAATGGGCAGAAGGGAAGAAGGAATAGGGACAGCATAATGCGAAATAATGTTGGAATTATAAAGTGAGGTTGCCAGAGATGCCAGTTATACAAAAACGGCCAAACGGAACGGGCCATATGCAGTAAATACACATACACACCACATACATACACACAATAGCAAACTGGTTGCCAGCGAGGGCACGAAGATGTGTGGAATGGAGAAGGGCAAAATAACTGACGCCGGCAGAGCGAAGCCATATGCGAACGAGAGAGCGGCAAAGAGAGCGGAAGAGGGAGAAGCCAAGGCAAAAAGCGAAAAGCAAGCACGATACGACTCCGAAATATGTGTATGTAAGTATATATGAGGGTCGCTGGCGCCTGCGAAGTGTGGAGGAGGGAGAGAGCTTGAACGAGGAGAGGTAGAGCAGCCACG